ATAAGTGGGTTGCAAAAAATTTGTGATGATGTTTCAAAGCATTCATGATACTATGACAAGAAATCACAGGGAGATAATGGATTTAATGAATAACATAAATGGGAAGTTAGAAAGTGCTCCACAAGGGTTAATCAGTAATGATAAAAAGCCCAGAAAATAGAGGAGACAATGGAGAGACGAGGGAAAAAGGCAGAACTAAATAAACAAACAAAACAAGAAGGTAAGACAGAAAAGGTAATAAAAACTTACAAAGCAATTCAGGGAAAATATATGCTAAAAGACCAAAAAATGATATGGGATAAACAGAAAGATATCTTTGAAAAGAAAATGGAGCGTTGGGCAGATCCTCTGGAGGCTTGGCAGTGAAAGTTAGTAGAGATGGAAGAAATATCTAAGCTAACCAGGAAAGAGGTAGACATAGATGAAGACCTAAGGGAGGAATTTAGGAGGCAAGTTAAAAAATGAATCAGAAAAGAAATATTAAAACAGGCAAAAGATGATGGATAGAGGAAATGTTTTTTAAAACAAGATTGGTTTTACTAGGAACTAATACAAAGGCAGATACAAGAAATAGGGGGAATATTATTATGCACATTTTTATATAATATATTAAAAGTAATAGCTAGACAGAAAGATAAGAGGTTGAAAGACTATGTATGTTCTAATGATACTGTTATTGTTATTAGAATCGGGGACTAAAATGTTGAACAATTAAATAATGAAGGCTTATATTTTAATACAAATATGTATAAGAATATTATTACAATTACATAAGCATGATTTAAATAACATATAATATTAATATTATCATTACTACCTGTATTCAAATGAATGATACCGAGATGTCTCACTGTTCATATATTGATATTGATGTATCAATAATTAAAAATTAAAAAATTAAAAAAATATTTTTTAAAAAAAATAAAGCCATTCATGGCATGGGTCCAGGTAATTTGAGGGCCCATCTCATCCTAATGGGATTGGTCTGCCTTAGTCAAGCCAGCAGGGGAGGTCTGCTGTTGGCCCATTGGCCAAGGTATTCCATGGGTGGGGTCAGGCAGAATTTTGCTCCTGCCCTTTAGAACATATTGCCCTGTTCTGTCCCCGTACCTCGCACACACCCAACCAGCCAGCCGAGAGTTAAATAAACTCTTCAAACACACAACGTCAGTGATAAGGAGCTTGGCAGCAACTCCGTGGCTGCCTGCCAAGAGCTTTTACTCCAATAATACAGACAAAAATACACACAGTTTGAATAGTCCAGTTTGTAATTAAATCCACGGCAAATAGGTGTTGTGTCCGAAGGTGCAAGTGCCTCGCCAGAGATTAGCTTTGTCCGTCACAGAATCCAAATGGTCACCACACTCCCTTTTATAGCCTGTGGGGTGTGGTCCAGTGACTCAGCTTAATCTCTGGCACGCCTCCTTTTCTGCTGCTCATGCTTGTCTCTCCGACGCTGGCGTGGGTCCAACCACAATGTTTCTTCGTCACTATCCGACAGCTCGGAAACACCTGGCTCCTGGCCAATCTCTTCTCCTTCGGGAGACAACTGAGGTATTGCCAGAGAGGAGGGTCCTGGAGAGGGAGGCCTCGCCGTCTCCTCTCCTTCATGTTCGGAGCCTTCTTCCTCTGATCAGATAGGCTCGGAGGACGGAGCCACAACTGCCCTGCCAGAGTGAAGTTGGCTGCAACCATCCTGACCTTCCTCAAAAGTTTAAAGACATGGCTCTGCCAGTTGGCTTGGGGATCTAATTACATTGGGGATGACTGACAGATTAATAACAGATTCCACCTCTCCCCTCCCCCTCCGCTCATCCTACTCCCTCCATCCCCATCTTTTAGCAATTATATTTTTGTTGTACTTTGTTCATATTTTGAATGGCTTTCATATAATTTTATCTTTTTAATATTGTAAGCCACTCATAGTTACCCAGTGGTAAAATGGGAGGCCAATAAATTTAATAAATAAAACAATAAAATAAGAAGAAACAAGCCATTTCAATGCTCTGGAAGGCTTGGAGCTCTTCAAAGGGTGATGTTGGTGCATGTTTGGCCTGGTAGGAATCAAGCCTAAGGACTCAGAGCACCAAGGGGTGGGAAGCAGAGCATAGGGCATCTTAGGAGGTGGAGGAGACCTTGGGCAGGCCAGGGCAAACAGGCCTGGGCCTGTGCTAGGCCTCTAAGGGCCTCCCACATCCTGAGACACCCCATGCTCTGCTTAACAGCCCACATGTTCATTTAACAATTCATTGGGGCAGCAGGGATGGGTGGGGTATTTAGATGCTTCACCTAATGACCAATGCAACATACAACCATAATTGGCAGGCTTCATTATGGTCATGTCTTAAGGAGTACCTGTACAGACCATAATATGACAGATAGTATCGGTGACATGATTCCCAATGTTTTTTATATGGTCCAAATCTCTCAAGCACACTAAATCTCACAAGATTTAGTCACTGGCTCTTTGTCTTTTATAATATTGGCTATTATTTATTTCTAGATTCATTTGGTTAACATGCCCACATACAAAGTAATCAGTAGTCTCGTTGAATATCAGGTGGCTCTTTCTTGTTTTATCAAGGTAAGCTACTTAGAGTCAGTGAAATTGTGTGGCATACCAATTTTTGGTAACAAAACTTATATAAAACATAATGTTGTTCATTGGTTCCTGGCATCAAAAATATTGCTAATCCATGCTATAAAAGATTATTTACATATGCATTAAAAATTGCCAATTTGAATTTTCTCACCAAGTAGCAAATAATTTTTCCACAGTTGTTTCTTCCCTCTGTAAAATTCTTACCGTAGGCAAATTCATTTGGTACTATATTGTTTTTCTGTTTGACATTAGGAGATGTCTATACTCTTCATTCATGCTTTGAATAATCAAAGCCTGATTTTATTTGGCTACTTTTAGGTTTTATTCATTATATTAATATTTGTAATTATAATATATACAGTGGATTCCCTGGCTGACTAACTACCTGGGCCCTGAAGATAAGCAGGCAATGGCCTGGTTAGTATCAAATGAGACATCATTACGGACTTCTAGCATTGTAAACCAAAGTAAGAACTTTTAAAACATTAAAAAAGGCAGCTGCAAACAATTCAGGTGCTGTTGCCACAAGTCAGTCACTAAGAGTTGAATTTAATTCAAGGGCAGATCATACAAAAAAAAAAAAACCTTACTGTATCTTACAAAGTAAGCCATTAATTATGAAAGCTTTTGCTTCAATCAATAAATGCTCTTCTGTAATTCCACTGCACTTTTTGACTTCTTGCTGAACAAACAAATTCAGAAATTCATCTGGAATTTGTCCTTTAGCACAATTTGCTTACCGGTACTTAAGAATCTATAGTGGTTGTATTTTATATTCGCTGTTGTTAGCAATCCCAAAGAGAAGCTTATAATACATATTAGCCATGTTTGAAAAATGATAAAATATTTCAGCTATGCACAAAGTGGTACAAGTGCAGCAAGCATAGATACACATGGTAAGTCAAGGAAAGCCCTAAAATTTCCCATTCAGGCTACTTCTACTAATATAACTAAGTCATCATCAGATGTGCTGATCTGTGCCACCTTCCAATTCTCATCTAAGGCTAGCATGGGAAGTCCTGGTGTTTAGCATAGGGGAAATTAGCAAGATAAGATCTTAAGAGAACTTTAAAAATGGAATTCAACATTCTTAATGTTCAATTTCTGCTACAATAATTTTATACTTTGAGTGCTTGTGTTCTGGTTCTAGAGTTAAAAGGAAGTCCTCAATTATTCATGCTTTCTGTGCTTCGTCATCAGCTTTTGCTCTATTTTGTTTTGAAGAAAACTTAAGCAAAAGCTGAGGTTTAAAAAAAGAGGTATAACATTAGTCACTGTGAATATTATTCTATTAAGAAATCCTATCTAGAACTTTTTCAAATAACTGATATCTGTTTAAAGATATTTAAAAATACAAAAATAAAATGTTTGGTAAAAAAAAACACATAAGTCTGGAGCTGGCGTATTATGCCATCTAACTACATTTGGAATGCATATTATTGAAGATAAATATAATATTGCTTATGGTGTTATTTGGAAAAATTTATTTTAATTCATTTGAATATAGTCTAAGAGTAATTTTATTTCAAGTGGAATGAATTTTGATTAATGACCATATGCTAAAAAAGTTTTAAACATAACTTTAAATGTTAGATGACTTTCTAAAATGAAGCAGCTCATGGCTTCTGCCCTTGTAGCCCTTGTATTCTCAACTGAACTTTCCTTAGAAATATTACAGAACCAGATACTGATTTGCACAGCTTGATTGTGCCAAAATCATTTACATTTGGTTCATATCAACAGTTATTTTAAGTTAAAGTGATCTCAATGGTGGTGAATTTGTTTTGGTATTCTGATGCTTTCATAATATGACATTGATTGAATTTCCACCTTTTCACGTATTGTTTACTTCCATAATTTTAACCCACAGAATCAAAAAGGGTTCCAAACACAGTTGTAGAGTATTGAACAGATTATCCTGGACACATTTTCCCAAGAGTATACTTAACTTAGTACAGTGGAACTCTTTTCTGAATAAACATGGATTGAATTGTTTTACAAACCATAAGATATCATTCCTGTGGTTGACTAAGATGTAGACAGAGAAGCTTGCAAGCTCTTTGGGATCCCTTCTAACTACAGACCAAGTTCTTCAAATGAGTGGGTGACAATTCAGCTATTTGTTGTGTGTTTTTTAAAAAAATGGTCTAGACACTTGAGAAGTAATGGATTCCATTAATAACAATGAGTCGCAACCTACAACATTCTGGTGTCATTGTTAGTTATTTCATATTATTATTCAAAACGCTGATTCATACAAGCTCATCTGGATGTCTTCCAAAACTTTTTTTAAAAATGTGCAGAAAAGTGAAAAGCAAAACAAGCTGGCATGGTAAAAAAAAAGAAGAAGAAGAAGAAGAAGTCTTTCCAAGATACCCTCTTTTTCTGCAGAACTTACCAGCTTTGTTTTGGTGCGTTGCAAAAAGTCTTCCATGGTGTTTGCTTGGCCTGCGGGTTCTGTTCAGCCAGGGCAAAGTCCCATGCCAGAGCTCCGCACTGCTTCTGTAGGGCGGCTCCTTGCCTCCCTAGCATCGACTGTCCCGCTGCCTTGGCTTCTGCCTCTTCCGCCGCGCGGCTGCTATACGTCTCCCCACAGATCGGCGCTGCCGGTGGACTCCTCTGCCTATTTAGGCAACAAAGTGGATTCGGGTCCCCGGGCATGGGAGGGGGCGACGGGGGGGTGGGAAGAGTTTACATGATTCCACAGGCCGGCCGAGCTCTTCCACCAATGGCAGAGACGCTCGAGCGGGCTGACGTCACGCGGACAATTGCTGCAACCATGGACAGCGCCCAAAAGTGAGGCGAAAGACAAGATGCGGAGATCTGCGGCAGAGGGAAGAAACCTCTCTCCCTTCGGTCCGCTCGCTCGCCTCCCAGCAGCACTGCAGAGCCCCAACGGATGTCTGATGTGCGGGAACAAGGAGCTCGCTATATCTGGAGCCGGAAAGCTCCACGAAAAACGTTGTTTACTGTGTTGTGATGCACGATTCCTTCCTTGTAATTAAGAGTTATGGGTACTGGAAACTTCCGATTGCCAGATGCAGCCCCGACGCCCAAATTTTACCCTGCTTGCTTAGAAGTAAATCCTATGGCTTTCAATGAGGTTTCTAAAGAAATAAAAAATGGTAACATGTATTTCTGTAGCTTATCATGGCTGTGATGTTTGTCAGTGTGTATTTATCCTTTGCTGGAACCTGAGAAACAACATGTCTTATTTTATTCAGTGAAGCATGGCAGCCACTTCATATATTTTGGTGTTTTTCACAAGTCAAGTGTAGAGTATTATTCAAATCTTTCTAGTATACTGCTGTAAAACAAACCCCAACACATCTCATATGTACATACAACATACACACATAACAGAAAGTGCTATTTATACTAGATATGTACAAAGGCATACTTTGGCATACTAAATTTCAGTTTATGATTTATAAAATGGATCCAAATAATAATATCTTTATTGTGATTAGATTTCTTTTTTTTCCTGGGCTTTGTACTTTGTTTCCAGTTCTGGAAACTTGGCTGACTTGCAGAAGGATACTTCTACAGGATACTTTGTTAATGGACTGAATCAGAATTAATGCATTATATAAATTTTTGTTTATTAATACAATACACAATTTTTATGCACTTTATTCATTAACTATTTAGGTACTCTGACTCCATGTGATATTTCTCAAATAATTACATTAAATACAAATAAGATATATAAAGAGGTTTCTTTGGCTATTAATAAATGAGTCATTAAGCCAGAATATTTCATATTTTATGTAGAATATCCATATTTGTGAAGAAAAAACATCATAAACTCAGTGCATATTGAGATAAATATTGTTTGCCTGTTGCTACCAATTGGCAGTATCTGTGACTTGTATTGACACCATGACACCTACTAGAACTGATCACCAAATTTTATGAAAGAAAGTCTGTAGAAATGCATTACCAATCAATTTATCTAATATGCAAATTTTAAAACCTGAATAAAAAAGGAATTGGAGATCTTCATTTTGTCTGAACTATATGAAACTGCCTCAATGTCTGTATCAATAATTTAAATAGTTCTTAGACTTTTTCTAATCTAGCAAAAAAATAATCCTTCAGATTTATTGGGTACATTTGAAAAGAAGTACATTAGGTTGTTAAAGATGCAATAAAAATAACACTTCATTAAAACAAGTTTTTGAGAAAGCCTAAAATTGTTACACTCTTGAAACCTGTAACAATAATTTTGAGACAGCATATTTTTTTTATATCTATACTCTTCGCTACACCTATTTTATATGGAATTGATCTATGGGCAATGAAAATGGATTCTCCATGCCCACCCCCCCGTTTTTTTCTTAAGAGACTCAACCTTCAACACTGGAAAAATAAAATTATGGTCCTGGATACTCCAGGGATAGAAGGCCTGATGTCACTTACAACTTATTGGAATAATTATTTACATCTGGTTATGGATGGATAGTTAAATGAAATATGGTTGAAACCATTGAGTAAATGAAATAATTCTGTAAAACTTTTTATACATATATAGATTTGTATAAACTATATGTTTTTATTTTTTTACTTTTTTCTGTTGTTATTGTTGTTTCCAATACTGTTTAAACCTTCTAACAAATCTCCAAGAAAACAGATAATAAGGTGCTTCTTTTAATTGACTAATAATGGCATTGGAGGTGAACAATTTAGCTGTACAAATTATATTCCACCATTCTGCTTAATAATGAATTCAGTGATACAATGACTTTGCTTTGAATATTTTTCCTAAAGTTAATTATAATAATGCTTACAGACTTACTTCTTCCAGTGTCAGATATTAACTTAGCAAATTGGTGACTTATTTCCTAAGCCTGAAAATTGTCCCAAGATAATATTTGCATTTAAATATATTATACATTAAAAGATAAAGAAGAAAAATCAGGCCAAAAAGCTTTCTCAGTAACATTCAGGTACCAGATGATGTTCAACATTGACTAGGTAGAAAAAAAACCTTGTAAAATTGAGAAATTCTGAGTGGCCATAAAAGAATTGTTACAGAGATATTTCTTTAAGAAAAAAAGATAGTTTGGAGAAGGAGAAATGGAAATAACGCAGCTACAGTTTCATTTAATATAATTTCCAGGTCAGCATGGGGTGACCCAGGTCAAAACAGAACATACATTCCCATTTCTCATCCACAGCTGGATTTTTAAAAAAAACATTTAATGAGATCTTCTGTGTAATTGCTGTGCATTGCTTTGAAGTAGACCTGCAAAAGTCACTAAGATTTGCTTCTTAGCAAACATGCATAAAGTGGAAATACTCTTGGTATCTGGTCACTAGAGAGTTGTTCCATTTAACAACCAAATGTATTTAGAGTGCCATTCTTTCTGACCACTGGAAGTATCTAAATTCCTAAAGTTGACTTTTAGCAGTATCAAGGGTTTTGAAAGGCAACTGTTGTTTAGGTTCATTACTAAACATAATACAAATTGGCATAGAGTACTTGGATTACTGCCCAAAATCTTTAATGCTTGCTAGTAAGCCAAGATCCTAGACTCCAATGAGCCAACAAGGCAATATATCATTTTTTTTCTCCTTCACTACAGCATTCAATTTAGCTTAGGATAATTGCCTAGTAAAAGGGTTTAGCTTGGAAGGGAATCCCTAGTTTGAATATGATTTTAAGATTCCACTTTTTATATTCCAGTCTAAGGGGTGCATGTTTACTTTATATCTATAAGCATATGTTTATATGAATTTTGTGTTTGCTTTACTTTAGCTCTCAAAAGCATAAGTAACGTTAGACGACTTTTTTTCTCTTCTGTTCAATCATGTCCATTCCTCAGAGACTACCTGGATCAGTGCATACAGTTTTGGTGGTGAGGTTTTTGAGAAGTGGTTTGCCACTGCCTCCTTCATAGGGTATGACAAAGTGAATGGCCCAAGGTCACTCAGCTGTATTCATGGCAAATGTAGGACAAAGGTCATTGTATCCTGGCCTAACTCTAAAAAACTAAGTTTACTGTTTTACAATAAGCACAAGTCAGAGGGACCAATTTACAGTTCTTTGATTTTAACACATATGCTGACTGAAGTGGCAGATGAGATCGCAAAATGATAACTGATTATAGGAATGTAAGAAATAATAAGGTTAAAAAATTGTAACTTAGCTGATGTACAGTTGTGATATTTGGAGATTACAGCTAAATAATTGGGAATCCCAGGATTTTGGGTAAAAGTAAAGCATCCTGGGGTCTCCTAATATCAAGTTTCTTCAAGGTTTGAGTAATTACCAGAAGATTTTAAGTTTTAAGTAGTTGTCTTGTACTTGTCTTTCAGATCTTATAATCAAATAGTTGATTATAAGATCTGAAATAACATTGCACAACATACTTAATTAAATATGTACTATGATAATTTTCACCAGCAAATTTGAATTATACATTAAATTTAACAAACAGCACAAAATACCTGGGGTATACTATTACTTTTTCATGAAAACATTTTACATATTAAAATCCATTGTGAAAATTGATTGATGGGGCAATAAAATTTAGGCAGCTTATCATTTCTCTATAACAAACCATCTGTATACTGTTTCTATTTCTGCTTACCTTAGTACATTTTCATTAAATTGGCCATTATTTGAACGGTATGTTAATGACTTTCCAGATGTCAGACAGCCTATTCAAGGGCTGTAACCTGTAAAAGGAATCTGAAGCCAGATATTTTTATTATTCTACATTAGGTTCAGTTAGGCCAAAACAGAGTCATTATAATAACTTAGAATGTTGGTTCCCAACTACGTCTATTTTTTTCTTAATTGTATCTGAAGATAGTTCATCCATGAGAAAACGGTATTAGCAAACTGAATATTCTTCCCCAGAATTATTCTGAATTTTTGCCTGACCATTTCAAAAATGAAAAGTGCATAATGGGTAGAACCTAGTCACATGTAGTGCAAAACTAATTAGGAAAATAGAGAAAGGAAGGAAAAAAAGAAGGAAATCCTTAATTAAGATACAGAAATTGTGAAAAACTCAATGACTTCTTTTCATCTGTTTTGATTATGGAAGTTGTAAAAGAGATTCTAAGCCTATTGAATTCCTCTGTGGTGGAATTAGAACAGTTAAAGCAAAATTTAATTACTTAAATTAAATTGTTTAAATTAAATTATTTAACACACACACACACGTTGCAGAACAAGCTTTGCAGAAAGGAAATCTACTTTGATTTAAAAAAAAAAAACTTTGCCAAAAACTTTATGAAAGGCTCTTGAGTAAACTTAGCAACTATCAGATAATTCATCTTTTTATGGATTGCTAAGTGATTAATTAAGAAAAAAATGTAAGTAATCTTTAATTAGAGGTGAAAAAAAGAACGTGGAAAATCTAGGCAGAAAGAGACTCAAACTTTTACAGAGATGGTGGCTGTATTTAAGTAAAAATGGGACAGTAGCACGTCACTGTTTCCTACTTGGAAACAACTCAGAGGCATCTGGATGGCTACTCTGAGGAGCAAATGCTGAAGTAAGTTGGATCTTGGCCTCTCCAAGGCGGATGAAGAAAGATGGTATCATGGCCCTTCTCCATACAATAAGAGATTGTGAAAATCATGTTATGATACAGATCTGATTATTTGAGTCTGGCCATCAGAAACCAATGGAAAATAAAATGGTTATAGATCATG